TGCTACAACAACAACTACTACGACTACTACTGCTGCCGCCAGTACCACTACCACGACGACAATTTCGACTACTACGATGATTACGACGACTGATAATCGTCTTTTTTGTGGTATATGAGTTCAAAAATCAAGATGATGCGGTGCCTGTGGTCGGTGCTAGGCGAAGAGTTCCTAGATGTCCTGTACGCCACCATCTGAAAAGGGTCCCTGACACATCTTGACCCGCCGACCTGGATGCCACCTGGGGCTGCAGGTGATCTCAAAGCAGCGTGAGCTCACCTACAACACCCGCAAGGAGCCAACGACAGTTGTCCCTGCATCCTGATACGATTTTGCTGAACTAAGCCGACCCCTGACTCGGCATTCCGATTGAAACCGGCAGGAGTTCCTGGCCAATGACGATGAGGCTGTCCTGAAGCTCGTAAAGGACAGGGTGGCAAAGCCGATGCTGCATCCCGGAATCCTAAACCCTACAACGATACAGCCCAAGACCTAGCTGAATGACTTTGAGGCTTAAGACCACAATATTAATATGAAGATGATGATGAAGCCTTGAACCCTAAACACGGTCACCTTTGGCCCAAAGACTGGCGAAGTCTATGCGGCGAAGGTAGGGTCCGCATAGTCATAAATATGGAGGCCCCTTCAAACACCAGAGCTGGTTTGTGCGGACCCACAGTCCGAAAATGCGTGTGTAGGTTTGTTCACCCTCCATGCGGAAGTTGGCCTGTGTTGGCATGGTGGGTGAATTAATCAGTAATCGTGGGCTGTCGCACCAATTTAGGCGCAGGGGCTTTAGGGAGGGTTGTAGCCGATGAGAGGTGCTAGATGGTACACAGTTATTTCAAGGTTTGAAGACGAATAAAGACGCGTGCGGCGCGGTCCGCACGGTGCCGCTGTCCTGCCCTTTGTTGGCTTGAGTCACGGATGCTTTGAGTGTATGTGAGCTCAGCTGAATAGTCGTGTGCATATATCTTCTGGGCCCAGCCCGACGGATGGTTCTCTGGAGGAGTGGGGAAAGGACGCCGTGAAGTTCCACATCGAGCAGGCGCTGTTGTTGAGGTTTGCTGAGAACATCGCGGCGTTTCCAGGGCTTTCAGTCTTCGGAGTTTAGCGCGTGAAGTGCAGGGTTTGCATTTAGGCCGTCGCGATTGCAGAGTTGAAAGCAGCAGCTGTCCTTGCGTGTCGTTGCAAGCCCCGGTTGCAAAAAGAGTTGAGGCTTTCGAATACTTCATGAATGTGCTCCGAGTTCTATAAGCGTGAACCCTAGACCCTAAGCCGCCCCCTAAACCTACCCGTTAAGTAGCCCGTTTAGTAAACCTTGCAGTAGCTGTTGAGAAATAAGGCTCAAACCCACCCCGGCAGGTCACGGGCAAAACGCCGGAGGAGGAGAAGAGCACCGAGGAAAAGGCGACTGAGTTCAAGGAGTACTTCGGCCTGGCACTCAGCAGTCGGGGATGGTCGGTTCAAGGCCAAGGATGGAGGCTTCAAAGGCTTGAGGGTTTGGCGAAGGCCCAATGCATGAGGGCTTATAGAGTTGGGGTTTAAACCTTTCGAGCTTCGGGCCCGAAGTCTTCAGCTACATGCCTTTCGTGGAGCTTCAAGATTTGTATTACTTTTAATAATCACTGTCTGCCCGCTCGACGATGGCCCTGAATGCAACTGATGTTGTATATGTGCGGCAATTGAAAACACACCCAAGACTGGTGGTCCAAAGGAACGCTGTAGAAATAGTGCACTGCAATTGAACAAGGAGTATTCAGGTCGCCTGTGAGTGAGCCTGCTTGTGCCATTAGTTTCGAGGCTTTTGCCCCTGTTGGCAATGATGTTGCAGGAATAGTTGGTGACGGAGTGTGGTGGAGCTTAGCTTTGCAGCTAAATGCCTAAGCCGCAATGTTGATTGCACACGGGTGTGGCGCAGTGCACCTGGCAATGCCGAGAATGTGATAACCAAGTTTTTGCTGACATGAAACTCGGCAGCAGCTGGACGAATCAGTACAGAAAGCGGAAGGAATGGAAACACAGCTTGGTCGACAGACACAGGCACGACCACTGCAATGCGAAAACGACCTGGAATCAAATCCTCAACGCCGAATCCCTTAAAGGAGCCCGAAGCCCTGAACCCCACTCCCCCAAAACCCAAATGGTTCCCTTATAGAACCCTGAAAGGAGCACGCAAACCCTAATGTAGGGGCCTTAATCATTAGAATAGGGTTCCGGGGTATGTTATACTTTACTTATTAAACCCTAAACCCTAAACCCCTAAACCCTATAATATGGAACCCCCAAAACCTTATTCTACTTATTTAAGGCCCCCTAGCCTTAGAGGCCCTGGAGCCCAAAGCTCGAACTGGAGAGGTCTGGAGATGCCTGAGCTGAGTGCCGGGATGAAGCCTGCAACTTGTCATACTACGGGCATAGCTTGTCATACTACGGGCATAGGGTTCAGGGTTTAGGGTTTAGGGGCGCGATTTCTGAGCTTGATGGTGTGAGTGTGTGTGGGGCGTCTTGTCCAGCAGTGGAGGCGACCGACTCCAGGCGAAGTACGAAGTTTGTTGCAAAAGGGGCGCGATTTTCGGGTCTAGGGTCCGTCGCCCAAACGACGTAAACCCTACAATTTCGACGTTAGAGCTGGGCCCTAGATTACAAAACCCCAATCCCAAACCCTGAGCCCCTCCACAAAGCTAGGCCGTGTGTCCGGAACCCGACAAGCAGCAAAGGATCGGTCTAGTCAGACAGGAGGCGCAAGAACAAAAGAAGCTTTCTTGGCTTGCCATAGGAAGTTTCCCAAGCTCCCGCGCCCTACCCGAAGACACCGAAATCTGCACAGCTCTTCAGCACCGTTTCAAGCCGACGAAGTTCAAGCGGGAGCCGCTCCGCTGCTTCATAAGCCCTCGGCACCACCATCTGAACTCCGTAGACATGAGACCATACACCTAAGCCTAAACCCTAAACCCTATACCGTGCATGAGGCGTCTGTGTGAAGAGAAGGACGTTAAATTCAACGCATGTTGGTGAGGAGCACATGGCATTTTGCCAAATACTTGAGCTTGATTGCTGAACTGTGACTCTGCTTAAATGAGTGGAGATACTCTGCTGGCATGATCGGGCATACAGACATAGCCTGATTTGAATTTGCCGACATGTCCTTTCAAACCCTACTTCGCGACTCTCTCAGCCATGTAGGAGGCAAAAAAATACCCTAAACCTTAAACCCTAAACCCTAAACCCTAAACCTTTGGGTCTGGAGCCTTCAGCCGTAAAGCCAGCAGAAACCCGCCCGAAAGCGTGGAGTTCGTGCTTGAAGGGTTTGCGGGATTGGGAAAGCATGGTTCTTAGTAGTATAAGGCAGCTTTTACCGAGTTATCACTTATAACCTATAACCCTAAACTCTGAAGAAAACCCTCGAAGAAGTACTTACAACCTTAGTTAGAAACGTGCCCTGATCCTTCGAATGCCGAGGCGGAGGTGGAGGCAAAGCTGAACGAAGTGGTGCAGAAGGGCATCACGGAGAAAGCCGCCTCCTACGAGGCGTGGGGACCCTGCACAGGGCCGTTTGAAACAAGCCTGATTGTAACAAGAGCAACAGATCTTAATGGTTACTGCATGTTTTGTTGTCGTTATGACTGTTGTGTTTTACTTGTATGGTATCAATATCACTACTGCTGCATTTGCTACCAGTCCTTTTTTGGACATCAGTTCGCTTTTAGTATCGGGCTGAAGGTACGCAGGGCAATGGGCAGATGCAAGGTCCCGGGTTGAAGTATAGGGGGCCTTAATAATTGGAATGGGGTTTTGGGGCCCATTAGACTATAGTTATAATAGGGGCCTTAGTAATTAGAACAGGGTTTTGGGGCCCATTAGACTATAGTTATCATAAAGAACCCCCAGAATAGTATTCGTAATTATTTGGGCCCCTACATCACTAGACTGGCGCTTCTTCTGTGGTCTGAAAGAATGATGCTACAGGCTTTTCAGGCTCTCACTTCAACTCTGCGTTCTCAACAGCCCAGTTGAGTGCTTCGATACACATTCATGGAAGACTTGTCGAAAACTGGGTTAGGGCATCACTAGCATACAGTTCCAATCCGATTGAAATCCTTTGCAGACAGCTTCAGGCAGGCTTTCAGCTTCAGCGCGAAGGGACCTTACTTGCAGAGGCAACAAGACTAACTCGTTGGTTGTATTGTTGGCAGACATTGCGTCGAAGCATCCTTAGCGCTGAACCCCCTGGTTTGGAAATTTGGTAAAGCCAGTAAGCCAATGTCTTTGCAAAGGAGTTCCGTCCGGGATTCGCGGTCGAAGCCGCCCGTATCGCCACTGTTGTGAGCCTTAGCTGAAGAAGATGTTTGGCTCGTTCGGGATTTGGGGGGGCTTAGGGTCATGGAGAGCGAATGCAAAAGGGTCTCGGGTTTGGGGTGTCATGATAAGAAAGGATGCCATGTCGGGTGTCACATGGGGTTTAGGGTCCAGGGCCAGGCATACATGTTTAGTAGTGAGTCCAAGGCTGGCTAGGGCACCTGTGTTCATTCAGGACCATCGATGACGAGTGGAAAGCTCTGCTGCAGAAGATGGACGCATTGAAGCAAACAGTCGGCCGCTTGCCGCATTGTGCATGCACCACATGATATGGGCTATGTCTCTCAACTGAGAAAATCTAGGCAGCGCAATGCCCATTTTGCACTTTTGTGATGGCAAAAGACGAAACCCCACACCCTTAATCAGCCTTCATCCGTCCGTGGGCCCCAACCACTGTGAGGCCCAAAACGCATCGTCAGTTTAGCGAGAAAGCAGTCAAACTCTGCATGAAGCGCACTACAGGGGTCGGCATATTTAGTGGTTCCCTACTATGAGCATAGCGTCCCCAAACCTGACTACAACTAAGCAGTGTCAGCATCAAGCCGCACCCGACGACTCAGCCTTATACTGCGGGGCTCAGGTTGGGGTTCGAGGCCTTTTCAGGTGCTTATCCATACACCACCAGAACCTTTCCAATGGGGTCATCGCTGCACAATCGGGGCGGTCCACTCGCCCTGGAAAGGCCTTGCGGCGTACAAGGGTTCCGAGCCCCTGAAGGAGCCTGTGGTTCATCATGAGAAGCAGATATTCGATCTTACTGAAACGATACTGGAGGTCTGCTTGGCAATCAGTACGCATCGTTATGTATGATGTTGGTGCTCAGCAGCCATCACCTCTGGCTTGCTTCAAAGCCCAAACCGAGACTTTCTCTGGCTGTCGCACATGTCAAAGTAGCAAGTTCGGGACCTATGAAGCCATGCCTGCCTGCGCGCGAGTGTGTGAGTCGAAACCGAGACTTTTCCAAAACTTCCATGCAGGAGTATCAAGTCCAGGGCTTCAGGATGTACCAGAAGGCAGAGACTCCGACGCTGGAGGGCACCGGGCTATGAGAGCAAAGTGGTAACTGGCAGGGCGTTGGGTTTCTGAATCTCCTAGACATCTTTTATGGTTGGAGAGGCTTCGCTCGGAGTGTTTGTCTTCTTTGCTGGAAGCTTCTGTTGAGACCTTGAAGCCCAATTCGGGTTCAAATTGTTGGCAATGAGTTGTAGAGCGTTTCTGCACCGATGTTGGGTGACTACTGCACCACCACTGCCGCGGCGGCGGCGACGACGACGACGGCGACGGCGGCGATGACGGCGACGGCGACGGCGACTCCTGCTGCTACTGCTGCTGCTGCTGCTGCTGCTGCTTCTACTACTACTACTACTACTACTACTACTACGACGACGACGACGACGACGGCCACGACGACCAGGACGACCACGATGAACACTACTGCTGCTGCTACTACTACTACTACTACTAGTACTAGTACTAGTACTACTACTACTACTACTACTACTACTACTACTACTGCTACTACTACTACCGCCACCACCACC